GCAAACTATTAGGGATTTGGCTTGCCGCGGCCAAAATTGGCGTTTTTATGACGAGAATTTTAGATACTTGCGGCGGGGTGCCGTGGGGTTCCATTCACGGGGAATTGTGGCTTCGCTCCCAGTATGCTAGTAAGGCAATAACGCCTTCCGCTGTGCAAAACGTTAACCGAACGAATCATAAATCTGAGCCCACGTCAATCCCCGCAGGTTTTTGTTTCAAATTCCACCGTGGTCAATTTTGCGCGTGTAATTGTGGTTTTCAACATGCATGTTTTAAATGCAAAGGGTCCCATAGCCATAATCAATGTACTTTTCGTCGCCCTACGCTTAAGCACGCCAACGTTGACCAATCAGCCAAATCCACTTCCAACGCCAGTAAAGCTTCAACCTCTGGTTAACATGCTTTCTGGCTACGATTCCGACATAGTAAAAATATTGATTTCCGGCTTTTCTCAGGGTTTTCCAATTCATTTTGATAAAAAACGATCATCTTTAATAGCAAAGAATTTAATTTCGGCTTTACAAAATCCTCAAACTGTTGATCTGAGGCGAGTTGTATAAAAAGCTAGTTAATTTTTAATTGTAGTTTAGGGCAGAATTAGCCAATCAGAGTCGTATCTTTATGAGTTAACGAGGATTTAACTATGCAAAATGTAGTTAAAGAGTTTGATTTGATTTGGGTTAGTTAAAACGGGCGTAGATAAAAGGCGGGTGCGGACTGGCGGACGCGGGTGTGAAAAAAGAAAAGAAAATAGCTTAAAAATATATACATGAATATTATGTGTATCAAAAAAAATAATCCCTATTCCGCCACAATCACGTTCATACGAATATACAGGTAAACATAACAGATCACCAATGAAGAGGTTCGGGAAATGACTGAGAAAACTTTTTCTCTATCTGTGAAACCAGAAGAGGCAAATCTTGGGTTTTTTGCCTCTTGAAACTGTAAAATATAGTTTTGCAAAGGCCGGAGAACTTTTATCGAAAGAAAGAGGTATTTTTCCAGCTCCTCGCAATAGTACTATGGCTTATATGGTGGAGATTTTCTGTGCAAAAAGGCTTCATTTCGTGTACGCGGAGATAAGTGGGAAAATTACGTGCAAAAATTTCACTGGATGGGCTTCGTACAAACTCTGCAAGCATGCTGTTGCCGTTGGGGAAAAAAGAAACAACCTTTCGAGTACCTGGAATGGTTAGGACGCCGCAACAAGCCCATGAACTTAACAACGCTTTAAAATCACTTTTTACTCGAGCAAAGGTGTATATAGGGCGAAAGGGAAATAAAGCTTCCAAATGTGAATGAAAGGGTGGATGAAGAAGCAAAAGTACAACCGTGGTTGATTTGTCAAATTTGTCCACCTTAAGTGACGAAATGCTTTGGATAAGGTGAATCGCTAAAATCCGGAGGGAACATTAGAGCACCTTGAGAGTTAGTGATTGTGTCTTACGCGAATAGACCCTGTTATGATGGAACCGGGGAAGGAAACTCCTGGAAATGTTTACTATCACGTAAACAGTAGGTGTTCGCTAGACAGCCATATTTTGCACCCTCTCTTGTGCAAATACCACAAGGAATTAGAGCTTGCCTGTCACCAGAACACATAGAATAATTAAGAAATAGTGGATTTAATAATTTTAAAACAAAAAAGTATAATATTAATAAGTCATAATATAATATAATATAATCATAATGTAATAATTAATAATATTATACTAATTATTACTTAGTTTATTAGTTTATCGTTTTTGGTCCGCGTCCGTCCGTCCGCCAGTCCGCGTCTGCCGGCCAGCTTTTTATTTTATACACCCAGTTAAAACATTAATTAGGACAAGACGACATGAGTTTGTTAATTTTGAATCGTGTGTTGATTTTCGGGCATAGTGGAAAAGACGGAGTGCGGAGTCCGCACTTACCGGCGGAAAACACGTAAACTGTGCTAAAAGATAGATGGTACTCGCTGCATACTAAAGCCAAGTCTTTTATGAAAGGCCAAGTCATTTATGTTCAAAAAACGTGATGAATTCATAAATTCCGTTAGTAGCACAGTTCCCCAAAGAGCTGGTCTTCGTTGTCCTCCTGATCAGTTCACAACAAACTGATCGGAACAAACGAATCGAGCAATTCAAGAATTTGTCAAAAACTTTGAAAGAAATTTAAACATCTCGAGGTGTCAAGTCAAGAATGGGAGTCCATGCGAGAAGAGCAAAGGAACAATGTTTTGCAGCAACTCCACAAGGTTCCTTTGGAGGAAGCATCTTCAAGGACAGTCTGCATGCATAGTCGCATGCATCGCCAAAATTGCCCGAAGTAATATTACAAATGTTCTTCGAAAATGGCATAGATTGGATTCCACGTGAAATTCTTTCAAGCAGTGTGCAGAAAGCTCTCGCTTTAATTGATAAATGGAGAGCAGTTTCACCACATGGTGTCGATACGATGGTTAGGCATGGTATTTGCAACTAATTACGGAGGCCTCACGACGTAAATCTGTTTCCGAATAAAAGATGGACTGCGATTGCCCTAGTTTTCCCTCATCATTTATTTGCGCACACCCCGTTTCTGCCCACACAAAGCATAAGAGAATCGCGGAATTGGCTTTCGTAAACTTTTTGAGAGTAATCACTTTTGGATTGGAAAAAATCGAGGAGGAAAGGGTTCGTAAAAACAAAAGAAAACAAGTGTAAACCCTCGAGACTATTGCGACTTTATTCGCTCCTTCGAGCATTTGATCGAATCCAAAACCACAAGCTAAAGTGTACGACTCTGCTACCTCGTTCAACAGCATCGTGAAAAGCTGTCTTTCGATGAAAGAAGACGAAAGATATGATAAGAACGATATGCAAAGGAATAACGGTCGTTTAAAAAAAGTCCAATGGTCTACGCAATTAGTAGATATTATTCAACTAAAATTAATTTAATTTCATAATAGTAATATATACCTTTTAGCCTTCTTACTTATTAGAAATTTTACTCACTTTTTACTAGATTTTATAAACATTTAATTTTAAATCTGTTGTAATTATTTTTAACTTTATAACTTGTAAATTTAACTGGATTTTGTAAAGAATATTTTAACGAGTTCCTCGATTCAGGCTCAAATACTCTCTTCTGCACCGAAAATTTGCTCGAGAAACTCGAGATCCACTGCACGAAAACGCAGCTGTCATTAAAGACAATGCAAGACGAAAGTGCCCAATAGAATGTTCAATAGTTAGCCTTGCGATCTAAGACCTCACGGAAAATTCTGAAATCAGGCCATTGGAAAGCAAGAGGATATAAAACGCTGGTCCCATCTAAGTGGAATCAATCGCAGATAGAATCCATCGACACAGGCATTGGACTGCTGATCGATAGCGATGTCCCGGAAGCACTCCAAACCCGAGAAATAAGTCAGAACGGTGGTCCATTTGCAACACGAACGGCCTTTGGATAGGTCCTGAATAGTCCATTAGGCAGAAACGGGAGAAAGACTTCGTAGGCGAAACTAGTTCAAGCAAACCTGACTTTGGAGAACAAACAGTAGTTCATGCAAACCCGACTTTACGAAATAATAATCCACCAGCCCAACAATGTCTCAGGATGATCGCAAGGGTCTCGGAAAGGAAGAATCTGGGAGAATCTGTTATGTTGGAAGACAGCCATTATGAGATCGCGCTCCCATGAGAAAACTATGTACCGTAACGACCGCCAATTTTTGATTGGTTCGTGCTGTCTGTATTTACGTCAGTTGTGAAATCACCTACATGAGGCTTACTAAGTTCAAAAACCTCTGAATCCTTGCATGTGGCTGTCGTCAAGACCTAAGCGCCCACTCAGTTCCCTTTCAATCATTCTTGTGGCTGTTATATATTATACGACATCTTCAGGGGAATCTGAGAACTGGGATTTATTTAAAGACTAACTTTGGATGTATCTAAATTGCCTCTGTATAAGCCGCAACTATAACCACAATTATAAGCGCATTGGATCGACAGTGTGGCGTAATGACAGGTGTCAGATGACACGCACATAAAAGAGACAATTACAAGAGAAACACGAGTAGAAGTCAGATACTTGATAAAGAGTGTATATCACTAAATGATTTATAGAATAATAGAAGTAAAGTGTTGGAGTGAAACAGTGCGTATAGTGTTCAACTATACCACAAGAACCTAATGATCATAGCCATCCTTATTGAAAAGAGATCTCAGAGACTGCAATTCGAGAGTTGGCCACTTTTCGACGAGATCTCGGGTGCGGAAAGTCTTGAAAGTGGAATTCTGGAGACTCATATTAGTGACCACTATTTACTATTCTCCGTTCTTAATTAAAAAATCCCAAAACCACCACCCGTTTATATTACAGCACGTAACTTTAAGAATTATAATCATCATTCCATTCTTGATGACCTTGGAGAAATTAACTGGTTTGAAAACACCAGTATAGATGACTATAGCCCTGGTGTTTAGCAAGTTGTACTATTGCTCGGCGGTATGGTCGAATACCTCAAGAAAAACATCGACAAGTTGCAGGGTGTACAAAATTTTGCGGCACGACTATAGTTATACAAACACAAGAAAGTTTGAAAACATAACACCTGTTCTGTTGGAATTGAAATGGCTACCAGTAAGCTGTATATTGGAACTCAAAGACGCAATAATGACTTTTAAATGCAAAAAAGGCTTAGCACCAACATATTTAATAGATATATTTAAAGAAAGACCTGCAATTGGTAACACTAGAAGCAAAGACATGTTACAAAATCTTTTTTATCATAGTGCTGCTGGCCAACGTAGTTTTTTTATAAAGCTACAAAAATCTGGAACGACTTACCGTATTATTATATATTATTATTATTATACAGGGTGTATAAAAAAAAAGGTAATCCAACTTTGGTGCGCTATTGTACGTGAACTATTCATTCTATTAACGAATTTTTTTCACATTCGGAAAGGTTAGACTTTAAACTATCGAATGACATGTTTTTGATACCAAATGGTAAAAAAATGAGCAAATAGGAGGCTGATAAAAAGTGTTAGTCAAAATCGCATATTTTCACCTCTGAGCGTTGGGACTAAAACCATTGAAATGAACTCCCTTTGGGACTTAATTAAAGAATTTTTCTTCGGAATAAACTACCCGCATGATGAAGGTACAGAATGTGGTGTATTGCGATGTGCACCTTGTTATGAGCTTCATTTAGCTGCTAAACCTACCCTTCGATCTTTGACACCGTTCAAAGCTAATGAGTTGCTAAATTCGAGAGGCAATGGAGCGCTTTCCACGGGAATCTTTTTTGATAAAGAAACCTCGCAGCATCTTATTCGTGGCCATCACCAATTTTGGTATCATCATAAGAAGAGTTGCATTGATCATATCTGTTTGGTAGGAAGTGAATCGTCTAAGCACCACAAAACAATGGGTATATAAAGAAAAAAGAAGAATTGAAACGTGAGACAACAGCCTGCAGAAATTTCTTCCGTGCAGCAATCGCAGACCTCAAGCTTGGTGCCGCTGCAAAGCATTTCGAGACTCTTCTCTCTCTTTTAGCTTGCTGTTCGGTGGATATCGGAAAAATAGGACATGGACGCAATAATTTCAACGACATTGTTTATTGTCTTGAAAAAGTTATAGATGGAAAAATCAAATCTTGGCTATCTACCCCTCTCCCTTCCACTTAACTTCCACCTCATTATTGGGTGACTACAAAGCTACGCCATCCCGGACAACGAATCAAGCCGTTCTGATTGTGGCAAGAAGCAAAGATGGCAAGGCTTGTCCTATTCCTGTTGATGCTCCACCAGTATACACAGAATTTAAAGAGGCTTCTTATGATGTTCTTGCAAAGCAGATTTTAAATGGGATATCTGATCACTTTGGTGTGCATATTCATTCGCAGCTGTGTGGCGTTGCAGCAGATGGCCCGTATCAAGCAAGTGGCTGTAAGAAATATCTTCGTCAAGCCCTTGGTTTAAACGATGACGATGATATCACATCTATAAAATCTGGCTGTCACGGATGTTCGAGATAGTAATTCCAAGTCAGGATAATTTTTCAGGCAATTTATCAAACGTTGCAATGTGTTTAATCATGTGTTGGCCAATGGAAAAGGTTTTGCATTTTTTAGAGATGGTTAACGAAAACGCAAGGCGACCAGTTTCGTACGCTACTCAGCGATTTACAAGCTCATCTTTTGAGCAGTGGGTTAAAATAGAGAAAAGCATTGCGTCACTTCAAGCACAGCTAAATAGAGCTGCAGACGGGGATCCTGGATTCTTCAAAAGGGTGAATGAGGCAGAGGCGGATCTTCATCCAGGAGGCGTTTTCAGAGGAGTTCAACTCTTACAAGGATGGCTAATAATGAAAGATGACGGAAGAGATGCAGGCGAAAGTCGCTTCACGTGGCAAATGAGGGAAGAATCAGAAGTTATTGAAGATCATCAAAGGTTCTCGAAAGACCTGGCTTGCGCGTTAGAGAAACGAATTCAGCCAGTTCTAGAGAATGAGGTGATGACAGTGCTTGAAGTGTTCGATGCATCGAATTTGGTAAACCTAAACTGTGGTACCTCTTTGATGAAAAAATCACGTTCTTCCGTCCTGAAGGTGAAGCTCAAGATTATGGCGTAGAGCAGTGTAAAAGACTGATGAAAGCGGTGTCTAAAATGCCCCACATCCAAGCTTCAGGCTTGAACTTTGATTTACGCATGGCACATTCTTATATGGGTAGCTTAAAAAGGGCAGTTCAGGAGGGAGTTTGGAAAGCTCTATGTCCAGAATGGTTCGAGGCTGCCGACGACAAGGAAGAAATCATTCCCTCCGAGATGTTGGTGGAGATCAGACCGGAGGGAACACCTGGGCTGGATTTACAGTTGTGTTACATTATTCCTCAGGAAACAGTCGCAGAGTCAAGCTAAATGAATCCTGTTTTTATGCATCTTTTTACTCAAACAAAGACGTGTACAAAATTGCGAAGTCTCCAACATGCGTTTTACTCGACGTTGCTTTGGCTAAAGGTGGGCCCGAAGCGATAGCTGAAAGCTTCTATAACTCGATGCGTAATCAGCAGCAGTCTGGTAGCCAAGTAAATGTCTCTTTGGCACGACGCACCAAAGTTAACTGGTGTTTGCCTTCAATTTAACTTTCCGAAGAAATCATCAGAGAAGGCGTATCTTTGTATCTGACGGGCGACAAGCACATCAAACCACATCGTGTCCTGACATTCTTTTCATCTCGACGTGCACATCAGTATGATGTGTCGAAGGTTGTGGATAGGGTAAATTCCGAAGAGCGACGCTGCCCATTTTTGGCAGATTAAAATGCACTGTGTATCAAATTAGTTAGTTTTTCATTTCATATTCATTGGCATTTGTTACAATAGTTAAATAACGATTATCAAGTGACTTGCTTTCTTTGATATCATGATTTCAAAGTAATAAACCGGCTCACTACTTGATGATTACCTACATGACTACATTCCACGATTCCGTTTATTATCAGCTGGCAGTAGACTTCACGTGTGTTGGCGTAAAAAAATGTAGTATTTTAAAACCTCCGGCGTGGCGTTTACATGGAATGTGTGGAATCAGTGGGCACGAGAATTATCATTCCTGGTTGCAAGAGCTACAATGGGAAAGTGGTGAGGCATATTGCAAGACAGGGTCCTGTATACATAAGATCAACACAGGCATGGACATTCTCAAAGGGCATTCTCTACAGGCATGGACATTCTCAAAGGGCATCCTAAGGATGAAAGCGATGCATCTGTAGATGACAATCTGTAGATAAAGAGAATAATGAAGAAATGAAGATTGATAACAGTGATGACATTTTGACACCTTGCATATATTCATATTGCGTAGCAAGTAGCAACATACCAAATCCAGTATATTGAAAAAAAAAATGCGTCAGATATTTTAATTTTTTTTCTAAAATATGAGATTTCATGAAGTTAAAAGTTTAAATGCTTTTTCTGAAGTTGTGGCACGTCCGCACGTCTCAGAGGAGTTTAGACGTATGTATGACACCACTGACCAAAATACAATGTGGCCGGCGTCTTCATTCCCTACATGGGCCAAGGCCATTATTGCGAACATTTTGTTCACATATTCTGTGGTGAATCACTGGACAGTGAAAACGAAGGATATGGACAAAAATATAACTGTGGTCACTGCTCAAACGAAAAGGTAACAGTGTAACACTAGTGTTACTATCAGGAAGTAAAATAAGTATGCGGTGGTTTAATATAATATTTACTATTCTGTGAAGTCAAAGCGTAAACCACCACACCAGTCTGATTGAAATGACATCATAACACATGTAACCATGGATGGCTTCTGTTCCTGTACAAAGGTATTTACAGAGTTTTGTGGTCGCTAAGGAGAAACCAGAGGAGTAGATACACGGTGACATTAATCTTATTTTGGTGATGCTAGAGTCTTTGACACTCCCAGAGAAGGAGAAGAAGCGAGGTGAAGTTAAAGTCAATAATGCTGTTATAACTGCTTGAAATCTGTTAGAGGTTAAGCGTCCAGATGTTGTTGTTGACATCTTAGAAGATTGATGTATAAAAACAAATGCTTCCAAAAAAACCAACATATGCTAATTTAAGAATATTAGCGAGGAATTAGTTTGTGAATCAAATAATATATTTGTAATCGAAATGACAAACATTTTGTGGCTTTTGTGCACATATGTGTACATTAGGAACTTAAGAAGGTATTTTCATAGAATGTTGTTTTAGTTTTGGGTTTTGAATGGTACTGAATTGGGCGCAGATAAAACCGATATTAACAGATTTAAGTTTATTAATAGGGCTGAATTTTCTTTCATGTCTATTGCAGATCATTTTATTCGTCAACAAGGAAGAAAAAATCCATAATACAACAAGTGTCACTCCCAGGAGGAAATCTTAGTGAGAATGATGTGGATGACGATGAAAGTGACGATTCTCTGCCTGAAGATAGAGAACTAGGAAGTATATTAGAAGTTGAAGAATATGAATGTGACGTTGTTAGTGAAACATCAGAGGATGAAGTTGAAAGTAGTGATTCTGGGGAACAAAATATGCCACTTAGTGAGAGGAAAAGAACTCGTGTGAAGAAAGGACAGTATAAGTGGAAAGAAGACAAATCCTGGAATCGACCAAAACAATCTGAAATTGCAACAGAAAAAATGAAGCCAGTAAACAATGACTTGTCAAATGTAAGCCAACCTTATCAGTTTTTTCAGCAATTTGTAACAGACGAATTAGTTCAACATATAACATATTTTCAAAACAATTTGTATAATACACAATGTGCAACACAAGAATACAGACAAGTGACGAAGAGAAAGGCTCGGCGTCTTTACATAGACAAGTAAAGCCTGCAACGGAGCAAGAAATAAAACAAGTCTTCAATGGTATTGTTTTATACATGGGTGTCCACAAGCTGCCAAATCGGCGAATGTATTGGGGACATAAAACCTTTGTACCACTGATTGCAAATACCATGACTCGGAACCGATTTGAGGAAATATTGTCTATCCTACACTTCAATGACAATGAACAAACTCCTGCTAACAAAAAAAAAGCAAATTATGACAAATTGTTCAAATTAAAACAACTTGTTGACCACTTCAGGAAAGTCTTCAAAGGAACTGTTTCCCCCAAAACCATGCAAGAAATTGATCAAATGATGATTCCTTTCAAAGGAAGACATGGGGCAAAGCAGTACATGCCTAAAAAGCCTACCAAATGGGGTTACAAGCTCTGGTGTCGAGCTGGTGTTTCTTGATATGTTTGAAATAGTTGAAATAGTTGGGTCTCCTGATGCCAAAGGACCACCACCCGGTGTGCAGCTGCCTTTTCAATTTGGCGAAAGTGAGAATGTTGTCGTTCGCTTGACCAAAGACTTGGAGAGAAAAAATCTTTTGGCCGGCCATCTTGTTGTGTTCATTTCTCTTTGGGAAGTTTACTTCATATATAACTCATATTTCTGAGAAATCGTTACTGAATGGGCAAGACACGTTCAGGGTATGTTAAGAAACGAAAGTTTTATGGAAATCGTCATGTAACCGAGCAGGAAAAACGGCAAAAGCGAGAGCTTTCACCAGCGCATGCGAGCTCGTCATGAAAGTGATACTATTTCTGGTCTTAGTGCTTCAACCAGCTCAGGAGTATCAGCATCCGCTCGTAAAATTGGCTCACCAAAACCCCAGAAGGTTGAAAACCCTGAAGTTGAGGCAAAAGGTTACCGTTTTGTTGATATGGAAAGTATTTTTGAGATGTAACCTTGTAAGGAATGCCAGCATTTCGATTTGACTTGTCTGAAAACCTGCCAAAACGTAAAGGTTGTGCATCCAATTTAGTGTTGCGTTTTACGGCATGTGGCTGGGAACAGGAATTTTACACCCCAGCCAAAATAAGTTATTTCTATGAAGTGAACAGACGGCTGGTGTTTGCTATGCGATCAGTCGGCTGTGGTGCTACTTCTGCAGAAAGATTTTGTGGCCTTACGAACATGCCACCAATCCCAAGGTGCGCACCATATACCGCCCACAACAAAGCCTTGCTGAAAGCTGCCAAAGAGGTTTGCCAAGAAACAATGAGCGAAGCTGCCAATGAGATACATGTTTTAAAGAATAAGCCTAAAGGTGAGGTCATGAGCAAAGACGAGGATATGCATCTCTAAATGGTTGTGTCACTGCTATCTCCATGGACACAGGGAAAGTTGTCGATATTGAAGTTCTTTGTAGACTCTGTAGAGGAGGATGATGACACACCAAAGAACAATGCTTGGAAAATTAACCGCAAAGAAAAATGTAAAGTTAATTTTGAAGGATCAGCTAGAAAGCGCAAAGTTGTGGACAGACTCAAAGACCCGACACCAAGATGTTAGATGTCCCCACGTTATCTTGGCTGATGTTTGAGAATATAAACTATTTTGTTAAGTTATTTTGTAATTAACCCATTCATGGTAAATTATAGGTTAAAGTATTCAAGGTTTCTTGACTGAACACCCCTTAAATGATTTGCCGAAGTGGGGCTGAATAAAGGTAGGGTGCCGTGGATATCTACCGTAATTTGCATATCAAAAAACCTCGATGTACACGTTTCGACGTATCGCGCCACTAAATTGCGAGTAGTTGCTGCGGCCAAAAGTAGATCGGCCAAAAGAAAACTCTATCGCTGATCGAGTTCGCTCAAAACAATCACTGAGAACACGGAGATGCTCCCAACAACTGCAGGTGGTGCATGGGTGTTCCATTATGAGGTGGTGCATAGTGCATGGGTATTCCTCTTCCATCACGTGCAGTAAGCTGTATACGAGCACATTTTCAACCACCAACTTCTTTTATAATTTCTTTCCATTGCCAGAGCTAATGGAAAGCCTACAGATAATATATTGGAGATATTGGAGAATTAAAAAGCTACTAGAAGGCAAGATAAAGATAGTTCTCAACCACAGCAACCACAGCAGAAAAAATAAAAGCATCAAGTATCCCAGAAGCTATCAGATATATCACAAGTATGAACATCGACCAATTGAAATGAACATACCATATGCACAGAGAATTGGCATGCGGAACAGGCGAAGAATGACGCTGACTGACGGAATGTGTATATGCAACATTCCAGTGAGGTTTCGGCCATTTCAAAGACGGCATACAACAAGAACTAAAATTAAGAGCTGCGCCTATACAATATCTTTAAAAATTACAAGTTGCTGGGTTTGTTTGGTTGGTTCAAACCGTAGGAGAAATTGCCAAGTAGAGGAAATGCAAATGGCTGATTTTACGAATAGCTCTTTAAAATTACAGTATATGGAATAAATTGGAAATCCATTGAATGTATGCCCAACTAAGATACTGTATTGCGATTCTTGTGAGTTTTCTAAGTTTCAATAAAAACCTGCTTTTGCCTATATACCTTTTTAGTGCTTGATTTTTCTAGGAAAAATTTTCTGACACTTGTTATCGTTTAATTGCTAAGAAGTTCCTATAAATCACTACTTTTTCAGTAATAAAAATTTTGATAAATTTCTTTCCATCGTTCGGTGTTGTGTTCAAAATTTAACCCACGCTGAATTCGGTTTTCTGAACGTTTGAGCAGTGCCATCAGTGTTGAGCGAAGCAAAAATCCGAAGCTAAATTTGGCTAAAACCAAAATGTTTGCATGTTACTTTAGTACAAGAAGCTTTATGTAACGTGAAAGTACGTCGAACTGATCAAGTCCGGATTAACGGGCCGAAAGCATTGCTTAATTGACGATGCAAATATTTAAAATAAAAAATCTTTGGCTCGAAAGGTTTAGCAATCAGCAATGAGTGGAGAAGAGCCTTGGTGAAATATTGCGCTCAAAGGATTCTTGATTAGGTCTCGTGTTTGACTTGTGCGCCTCCTATTTTGCTATTTTTTTCATACTTTTAATAAAAAATGTACGTTTATAGTATATACCCATGCTTCGCATGCTTTCGCGTTGAGGTTTCCGAATCAAGAGTGACACCATCTTTTTTCAAAGTGCTACGCATGTACATTTATACTATAGCGAGAAATATCGTATATATATGCAACCCAGCAAAAATTGTCTGTCGGTGTGCATGGAGTTCATCCTTTCACTGGTGCAGTGAAACATGAACCACAACGCGGTTGTCGTAGACGAGCTACGTCACGAAACTTGGTTGATTGTTCATAATGAATATTGCATCAAATGTATTAATTGCATCTTGTTCTTTACACCTTACCTACTTGACGGCAATATTCAGCACTTTTACCTCTTCGTAAGGTCTGTCGTCTCTTGGGTTGGTTGAAACATTGCTTATCTCTTGCACGACGTCCATACCCCTCACAACGCGGCCAAATACTGTGTGCTTATTATCAAGCCATGGCTGAAAGTGATATGCACAAAAATACTATGAGAAATCCTACATTTATATTCGATTGGTCGTTGGAGGACATCTCAATTTCCACTTTATAGGACTCTCAATTTGCAATTATACGCTATTAATAATCATGCAGGAGAAACACAGTGCATGGAGTAGAACAAAATATGATACACAATGCTGGAATCATCAAATGCCTTTTATTAAAAGAGTTTGAATTTAAGTTTCGTTTTAGACGCTGGTTTGTGGAGTTTTGTTTGGACAACATAGCGGTTACGTAAAGGTAAAAACATCATTTAATAGACCCTTCCCAAAATGACGTCATATGTCGGAAGCCTAATGTTACACGAAGTTTAACTGGCCCGTCTGTTCTTGCGACTCGAAGATTAAAATCCATATCTTCTCGCAATATGTAAGTCATCAATGATAAGAATGCGATGGAGAATAAAAAATGTAAAAAAAACACAATACCGCTGGCACAACTGTTATGAAGAACTGAGAGCCGTTTGTATTCGGTCCAGCGTTCGCCATACTTAAAGTATAAGGTCGATCATGACGCAGGTTATGATGAAGTTCATCTTCAAATTCTCCTCCCCAAATCGACTCACCCCCAGTACCGTCGCCTACAAAAGACAAGGTTCGTGCACATGCAAAATTAAACCAACCGCATGGTGCCATTTTTAAAGTGCCATCTAAAGAAATGATTAATTTCCTGAATCTGTTTCTCATTTTTTTAACAACTTGTTTCATTTTTCAAAAAAACAGAGTCATTATTTCAACCTAATTTATTTGTACGCCTTCACCCACTGATTCAATCAAATGCATGGGTGAGTGGGAATGGATGGCTGAAGTACGAGAAATTGAAATTCCTTAGAGCATATATATACCTCGTATACCAAACATATAATTTCGTTCAAACTACATTCATTGCAACGAGAGACACATTAAATACACACCTAAGGGGTCTCCAGTCTGGATCATGAATTGTTTTATGACACGATGAAATATTTGACCATTGTAATAACCATTTCGACTGTGCACGACAAAATTTTCAACAGTTTTTGGACACCTAAAATTTAGGACGAAAATTGTCAAAATTGTTTAATTTTCGTTATTTGCCATAAATATATATGCACTATGTACAAAATAGAGACGTTAAGATCCGGTTCTAGTCCACACTGTGTAAAGAATTTTCATCGATGTCTGTGGATGTTTTTGGACTTTAACTCGACAATCCTTTCCAGCAGACTTTAAACTCTTTAGGGATACAACTAGTCTGCTAAACTTCCAGGCTGCTAGCAGCCTAGTAAGTAAGTATGTAAGTAGATTTAGATTATAAAGAATGTAAAAGACGAAAAATCTATTCAAACAAGTAAGGCTACCCGAATTAAAACCGGGGTATCTTAACCTCGCATTACACACAGAAGACAAACTTTGAGGACCAGCTTTGGCCAGAACTTATCATCTTTCGGCATAACACACGCCTAAAGTGTGGTTTCGATTTAAATAAATACATCTCTCAACCAATGTACCGTCCTTATCAACTGTGATAGTTGAGGGAATATTAAATATTTACTTACTCTTTGACAAAAAGTTTTACTTGTATATCGCCCATAGATGTGTGTATAACAACGCTCTCAGCAACACGATCTAACCCTCCACTTGACTATAAAATGTTAACGTGAATGCACTATAATACAATGTAGTATGTACAATACTGTATATATTAATATATTGAACTCATACGGCAGATTGTATGAATACGAATTTAGACGATATTCGTATCGCTTATACTTCTAAAAAATGTCGAGTGTATACAATTGCGTACAATCATCACCTTTGGCAGCAATAATAGTACACAAAAAAGGTTACGAACCTCAGTTGCAGCATAGATTTCCTCTCTTGAAGGTTTTTCATTAAAAACATCTCTATCTCCCTCAACACTATGTGACAAAAAAATAATAAAAAATTGAAGTGAATGAAATATTTACATTCATCACATAATATATACTTCTGCCTTTACCAGGGCATTATAAACAGAGTGGCATCAAACGATTCTCACTGTTATCGCTTTTTGCCCGGCTGCATGCAGCAATTCAAGACAGCGATTTCAAAATCAAAATTTTGCAGCGGAAATAAAAACTGAAAATCTAAATTAAGAACTTCAGCAGCAGAACAACCAAACATACAACAAAGACAATTTTGAAGTCTAAGAAAGAGCCTGCATGTAAAGCTATTTGTTACACAGTGAGACAAACTAAATTTCATTCCACAAATTTGTTCCACAAATCGTGTAAAACATTTGAATTCAGGCAAAAAAAATATGAAAGCTACGGCGATAAAAGGATTTAGAAGGAAATTGACTGTATACTTTTGAATTTTCAAATAGATATGTGCCATATTTCAAGCTCGAACTGATGCGATGAGGTACAAGTATGTGAGAAACAGGTTATTATAGATGAGGGGCTCAAATATATGTAGTTCAAACGATGGTTAAAAAGAAAACAAAGAATGGCTAAGAACATAATGGAAAACAAACCTTTGGTCAGGATCTCTTCTAGTAAACACATAAAAACGATTCTTTTTGTTAGCGGTACAAAATATCGTGGGATCTGTTGTGGATTTGTTTAAAGACGGATTGTCAGCTGCCTCTGTTTCCTAAAATAATACAAGAAATCAATATGAAACTCTGTAATGATTTTCATGTAATTTTCCCAATCTCGGTTCATTGAAAAAAGCACCTCTCCCAGGGGAAATCAGTTTACTCCCTGGATTGCATAGGACGTAAAGTTTTAGCAGTCTTCAGGGCTTCCAGAGCCACGTACGGAGGCAGAGGTGGAGGCTGCCATCTTTTTAGCGTGGCAGCAAACCTGCGCCATTTGCAAACATATAATCTACTGTAGCAATACCAAGTTTGGTCTTTCGTATTTATGATACAGAAGTGGCTTTTTCGCAATTAAACGAACTGAAAATATACATACACCTGCGGATCTGAAAGTCTGCGTGTATACATACTTTTATAAGTCTGAGATCCATGTAGCTTTTTCTAAAAGACTGCCCCCGTCGCCTTAAACTGTTCTAGGCGCCCCATGCATGTAGTATACCCACAATACGAAAAATCAAAACAATGCACGAACGTTTGGATATAAACTTACCAATGTAATAGCAGCTTTTCCTTGGCTGGGTTTTCCTTGGTACAGCGCCAAACTTAGAAAGCGAACGTTCTCGTTTTTACCAATAATACGCACACAACGATTCGTGTGAATGTTGATAACTTTTATACCAAAAAGTGTGGCATACAACAAGAAGTAACCACTTTCGTCGAACGTGACGTTCGAATATCGCAAGTTCTTAGTCTTCTCTAGATCCTTTTCCCCTGCCATACGCCTTCCAAATTCCATGTCCGGCAAATGCTGACCGGATTGTTGCATGTCTGTGTACACTTGCAGGTCTTCGTCAAATACGCGAACTTTTTTGCCCGACAAAAATCGAAAGACGCGAACTTTGCGGTCCGTAGCCATCGTTGCGAATAGCTTGCCATCCGGAGCGAACGCCAACGACGTTGGAACTGCTTTACACTGCAAGTAATGGATTATATAAGACGATGTATAGTCCAAATATATACAGACATATATACAAATTCTAGAGGTTTAAAGTGTCCTAATTTCGAGTGGAAATACGCACACTTCAAATTCAAGCCAGGAACAGTTGATGAGAAAATGACTCAACCTCCGACAGGAAACGAACCTACGCTTTTGCGATGCGGGTGCAATGCTCTATTCAAATATCCCATTTTAAACGAATACAGTCAACTATACTCATCATGCATCATATGCACTCGACCCATATGCGGGAGACGTTTACAATCCCAAGTCTCGTTCTAAATAAAATGCACATGAAACTGCATGCTTATATAATCGAGACTGATCGCCAGTAGGAAAGGGGATACACAGTAATGACAGTATACATAATTGACAAGTTATACTTTACGAAAAACGATGTACACGCAGAGAAGTAGAAACATGTCAACATGACAAACCACCACGAGAAGCATGCATCACGTTAATACCGTTATTATATTTAAACCGTCTTGTATAATTACTTTTTATAACATGCAAACATATTTTCAAGCCGAAATTGGAATCTACTTTCTTGCCCCATAGTTTCAATTAAAGTTATACGATGATGTCTCGACCTACCATGATAAACTCAAAGAGATCCGTGTCCGTTTTGTATTGAAAGTTGACATTTTGTGGAAACTTGAAATCTCCCTTTAAGCCTGACCAATATTCTATCATGCCAGCCTCGTCTGCAGACACGGCCACATCGTATTTTGAATTATACTTGTAAACAGAAAGAACAATGTGTTAACACTCCAAGTTGGCTCTTGGAAAGGGTTCACTTCCAACAGCACTGCGAAGCAGGGCCGCCAAGAGGGGGGGGAGGGTGGGGCAGGTAGGCCCCCAACATGAAGGGGCCCCCGACTAAAGGAAGAACCTAAAATTAAAGCACCTTGCATCAAAATGTTGAGCTCAGCGCATTGTTCGCACACTAGTCGAAAGTACGAGTGACAGTCATTGCCGGTTATTTTCATTTCACGACACGTTGATATTGTTTGTAAAAGTTTCTTTGTTAAACTTTAACATCGCTTTGAAGTACATTATGCCTCGCAGAAATTTAAAATCATGACGTCATAGGGCCCCAGGAAAAAAGTTTGCCCCATGCCCCACAATTTCTCTCGGCGGCCCTGCTGCAAAGTGGAGAAATCGTAACAATAAAACATGCGTTGACATCATACTATATATATATATATATATATATATATATATATATATATATATATATATATATATATATATATATATATATATATATATATATATCTACACGCAATAGCAATTAACGTAGTCGATCAAGACATGGAAATGCCGCCAGAAAATACCCTTACAAGATTCTGGAATGCATGTAAAAACCTTATTCGTGGCGCAAAAAGCATACCTTGATAAAAGTAATAGGTTTAGTGTGAATGCCAATGGTGTTCAGAGGAACATTATTACCACGCCCGTCATAAATATGTATTTTCCCAGAATCTTTTTCAGAACTGAAAAAGAGTATATTAATTCAAACACGCCATTAGAACAATGAACGCCTAAACCCACGGCATCATGCACCAAGTCAAACTAGGGATCCAAGGATTTCGGCACCCTCTCAACGACTGAAATCCCGGACCTTTCTTCAACACAACTAAATTTCATACCTAAGAGTTTTCTCATCTGCGTGCTAGTAAACATCTGGAGTGAAAGGTTACACATTACGCTTATACTAGAACCAGGTACGGAAACACAAGTTTTTGCAACATAAGCATCGCATTCATAGAAATATTAGGCCTAATTGTGAAAGCTAACTCACACTTTCATACAATCACCGACAATATAGCATCACGGATCGATGATTCAAAGAGTATTTTATCAATCAATGGTATGTTTAGAAGTATAAAACACTCAAAAACTGAACTCAGATCGTCATGACGTGATTAAGATCTCCTATTCAATATAGGGTTTCATGAGCTCATGGGTGGTTTCATGCATTTTTGGCCTTTCTATAGGTAGCAACTGTATCGATTTTTACCTAACCTTATATCTTTACTTCACAATAATTACTGTAATTACTTTACAACAAATACTCAAAATATGAGAAAAGTTGCGAAAAACCACACCAATATATGCATGTTGATTATATCTTAAATTTTTCTTAAACAAGTGCACACGCACATTTTTACGGGTATTACCAAGCATATAGGCATATATGTGTATTACCAAGCTTACCAAGCTAAAGCTGCAATGGCAGCTCCGCGTGAGTATATCCACTCACATTGTCCAGGTTCATACCCAATTTTCATCATGTTGATCATATCTATGAAAAAAAGATGCAAGTTAGAAATGATGTATCGTTCCTGTATTTCCACGGAGATCTTTAGTTGTTCTTATTGACAGTTATTAGAATATACATGGTTTGGAGACTAGATGGAAGTACAATAAAACTCACTATCTATGTTACTGTCCAGGTTTATGCAAAAATCGGTTCCTTATCGGTCACATGGCTATTGTATTTTTGCCCAACCATCGAGGTGCATATACAGTAGACAGTTTTTCCCTATTTCAATGTAGCCGAATTCGGCGTCATTTTGTTCATCGTAGGCAAACTGCACATAAAAAAGAAGAGATTTATTCACCATTCTTACCAAAATTTACAACATCAAAGACCTTTAGAGATTTGTCATTTGCGACAGAACAGAACAAAAGACCGTCGACGCTTGCAGCTGTACAGCATATTGATCCTATATTAATAGCAAATGCACAAGATACAGATTAGGTCTACATTTTTTTAATAAAGTACAAAACTTCTTCAGATCATTATAGAAGCTGAGACTATATACAGTACGCATGCATCCATGCATATGGTTTAATCCAGGTAACGAGAGAGATGGCGAATTTTCCTGACGTGGAATCTCAACACAACAAAAAAATTACCTCCGTTTTCAGTGTATATTATAGAAAGTCAATCAGCTTTTATAAACAATTTTCGACGCCGTGCATTTGAGTAAAATGTAGCTACGTTCGCTATCTTTCGTAATTATGGATTGCACCATTAAAACATCAGTAATTCATACAGGCATGCACGAAAATTGACGTTGCAAATGTTTATCAAAATATAGCATGTAGCTATAACTAATAATTAAGGCACTAACTATTACAGCCACCATATAATACCATGTGTAAGTTCTTTACCTAAGTGACCCCTGTAGTGCTTAACAAATTCAACGCCTTCTTCAGTTTTCTTCCAAAATTTCACGTGCCCATCGCAGCTTGCAGTAACAAGGAAGTCAGTCCTAATAAAGACACGATATATGACTTTTGTAGTGTATATTATATATATATATATACAAGAAACACAACAACTTTGAACATGCAAGATCGTGTATGGTAAGACATCAGAAAAAAAGCATTATAGACGTTGAATTATTGTTTCCGTGTGGAAATAAAGTTAAAGTTTAAGTTATAACAGCACTCACTTATGTGTGGGTTTTACTAAAAGTCGAAAGAAGCTTGAAGTCGAATCAGCCGCTTGAAGTTAGCACGGAAAAGAATAGGAAGTTGAATCAGTCGCTGAAGTTACCACGAAAAAGAAGGAAGTTAAATCAGCCGCTGAAGTTAACACGAAAAAGCAGGAAGTTCAAAGTTGAATCAGCCGCTAAAGTTAGCACGAAAAAGCAGGAAGTTCATAATTGAATCAGCCGCTGAAGTTAGCACGAAAAAGTAGGAAGTTCAACCTCTTAACGCCAATAAGATGGTCACAAATAATATGTCACATGCGACCTTAATTGTTTTCGATTTGCCAAAATGAAGATTGGACGCATGGGAGAATAAGTCTTGCGCGAAAAAGAACACATTGAATTTAAAACTCTCGCTTTAGCTCTAGTAAACATACAAAGGACACACTCACCTTGTTACGACGACGTGCGTAATAAAATCACGATGCATATAACTTTTCTCGTAGGATTCTGACGAAGGCAGGTTATCAAGGTATACTTGTTCGAATTCTAAAACTAATTAATTGTTCATGGAAAATTAGAAAATCCTATTCCGGAAAACCGAAAATTTTTTTAGTTCTATTGTACAAATCTTTTAGAGTAACAAGCATCCGGGCCAGGAATGTATTATAGCCAGGGAATACGAGTTTTTAATCTCAAAAATAATTTGCCCAAAAAATATAATAATTATTAAAGTTACAGCTTTTGTTTCTTAAAATCATCTTTTTCGGTCAGATAAGATCATATACTGTAGCGGTAACGCACCGTTACGTCCAGAAATTACAGAGGCTAAAAATTACAGTAGCAAGACCGGAAATTTCAAGCCAATAACTGTTAAGGTTGGTATAGTGATATTGAGGTGTAAATAGTATAACTATATCTATCATATATCATTTCTAACTTCAGCTGAAGTAGAGAAACCACAATAAGATCTCCTGGCATTAATATTAAGCAACTCAAAACAGTTTACAAAATTATTACCTGACAGCCCTGATTGAATGCTTCAATGAAGAAGATCCGAGGACATGGAAGACTATTTGTCTGAAGTACAACTCTAGCCGTCTCTTACATTTTAAATCAACTTGTTGTTTTTATTCCCATGTCACACTGTATGTTATCTTAATTGTGTGTATTTTTGTATCAAGGGCACACAGTATAATTGGTTTTCACTCATGTGTTTTGGCAAAGTTAAATAAAATAAAATAAATCCAAGCATTTCGGAAAGCCCTTCAGAACGTAATACGACACTTTTAGGTATTTTGGTTTAAAAAGGTGGTTCGTTAAACGTGACGTCGGTCGGTAATAGGACACAAGCGTCGGTAAAAAGTATATAATTTCGCTCAACTTGCTTAGTTACTTGCGATAATTTAACAAGTCGTCTCACTCGTTGCTAATAAATGATTTTTACAGCAATAGAACAGATTCTCAAAGTTTTGCATGTTAATGTCCAATCAATAATTATGTACACTAACTACACTTCTAAAACGCATAATGTTTGAGGCATTCCAGCCACAAATTCCTATCACATTACATTTCCTTAATGCAGTCGGTTCTCATTGCTTTTATGCTTTCTATGGATGCGCTTCAAGTGTCACATGCTTTATTTCTATAATAAAGTAGTATATATCTACTGTATACTTTCAAATATATGGGACCATTTGCAATGTAATGTCATTGTAATCATGAGATTGTATTATTATTTATTGTAATTACCAAACATCGAGGTAACTTTGGCTGTTTATGGACTCAATTGTTGATTATTGATTTAATATTTTTAGCTGAATAAATAATGCTATGGGTGAGTAGAAATAATTTTCAATTTGCAGGTTTTTAACTTAATATAAATCTGGGTATCTAAAATGTCATTTTATGCATTTCGGGAACATTTTTATAAAATGATTTCATTTTCAAGACACAATTTATATGCATTTTCAAGACACAATTTATATTGCTGTTGCGATAGGGTTACATTTCAAAATGTATTTAAAAGTATATATATAGTTCTAAAATTTTTGTGCAAACAAAAACCGTTTTATTGTACTGGTATTAGAAGCTAGCTTCTATTGTTGGTACAACTAGATACAAGTACTCATAATTGCTAGCTAGTGTAAGTGTCCACTGTTGTACCTATATTCCAACTGGTAGATTTGGCCATCTTAAGAAATGTTTTCTCTGCTTAAAATTTATTAGTGGTCACAATGTCTTCTATGTACTGTAGTTTGAGAGCCATAATGTACCCCTTAGGTCAAGGCTCGGTGAAAACAGTTTTATTCTTTCTGAATCAAGCAAAGTTAAAGCATGGCCAAACTCTTTTGACTACAGTTGCAAATAGGTGATTGTGCATAGATACACTTTACTGAGCATGCGAGTGTAAGAAAATATGCTGAGGTCTCTGTCACATGCACAACTTGGTTGCTCTATCAAAAGAAATGTACTTATAATAAATTGTGTCTTAAGAATGCAATTGTTTTATCAAAATGCTCCTAAATAGCTGAAAATTCTATTTAAGAGATCCAATTATTTTAAATTTTTCAACCTGCATTAGACGCTGCCCTTATTAATTGCCTCACGGACAGCATCCAACCGAATGTAGATCACTCCACCTTGGTGGCTTTGATTTCTGTGCCTATTTAGTACACCGCCAGTAATTGCATCAATTTTAAAACGAGACCAGCTACTGCCTACTGGCTATTTAGTGATCTTGATACTGTGTAGTAAAAAATTAGTTGATTTAATGCAGCTTCAAGCCTTCAAACAATCTTTTTACAAGGAAAGTACCGTAGCAACGTTTGAATAAGGTTGGATGAGAACATCTTAAACACTTAGGGTACTTATCAAAGCTATACTTTATATCTAACTTTTAATAAATGAAATTAATATACACAAATTATAAATTCGATACTAATAGGGATAAGGGACGAGTTTAAAAGGTGAAAAACACCGCAATTTGGTCCCAAATAACGCATATAATCCAAAAAATACCTTTTTTCTTCTTTGGTTTACTTGCTTCGACGGGCAATGGCCCGATCATCTCATCTTCGCTCTCATCGTCATTACTGTTTTGTTCTTTTGCACGTTTCTTGCTCTGTTCTTCAGCCATCTTGGTTTTTTAGCGCCCTCGTTACTCTTTTATGCGCCCTCGATTATTCTACATGCAGCATGAAACTGATTAACTTCATGTTGTATCCTTATTAATTGAGACCAGAGCAGTGATCGGGACCAGACGCGCCGTACCGCACGACATGAACACAGAAGACCCTGGGAGTGAGGTTGGGCACTGCACAGACGAAGTAAACAACGTAAGCGCGACACACGCGCGAGTATCACACGCGCAAGTCAAAGTCTGGGCTGCCTATGAATGCACAGCGAGTTTTCGCGAAAAAAAAATTTAATGTTTTTATTGAGAAATGTTTTTGCAACAAGTGAATGGTAATATTTCTTAAGTTTAATTACATACGTGATAGCGGGCAAAATGCTTAAGATTAGTGATGATGTTTAACATGGGAATAAGTATGCTTTTTTCGAACCGACATTACCGAAAATTGTGAATCGAATGTGATCGCTAAATCTTGGTCCAGAATCGGGGATGCCTGGAACATGAGGACGGCTGCAGGAACTAAATCCTGGTCTTGATTGGTTTTCTAATGCGGCCATGTCAGTTCGTTTATTCATAATTCCGTTTTGATCATTTTTTTTTTCATCACCGCCTGGATCTTGCTGGGCTTTCGGAACGTTTGAAGGAGCAAAGTCGACTAGGATACATTCAAGAATATCTGGTCACCAGAGAGATCAGACATTCTTGAATGTTCTGTTTTAAGCGATGTCATGTCAAAGACTCAAAGTACATATGGAACGTTCGACTACAGTTGTAGAGATAACAAGTGGGGTGTGCAAAAATAGCGCAGAAAATATATTTACCCTTGAAAGAAGCTTGTCGGCATATTCTGCTATTTTGTTGAAACAAACAACAGCGCTTTACGCACAAATGAGTTTGGATTTTATTTTCAACGAACTAAAATTAGAAATGATTTTTCGATTGCAGTAAAATTAAAACAGACTGTTCGAATTTACTGCATATGTTTCATAGTCTATCTCCTAATCTGAATGACGCAAGCACGCCTACGATACTTGGATGCAGCTAGTTTTCAATAGACTTTTCCCCATTTAGCTTTCAAGCGCGCAATGCGTGACGGTAGTTGATTATCAAGCAACTTTGAGTTGCGATAGCGCCTGTTTGAAGCCATTTCGTTTGTAAGAAAACCTTGCCGATTCTTTTTGCTTTTCTGTTAAACTAAATCGTTCCTGAACATGGCGAAATAACAACCTTGATAATAGACTACCGTCACGCATTGCGCGCTCGAAAACTAAAAGAAGAAAGGCTATTGCTATGTCTATGCGCCCACGATAAATCAATCTACAATTCATTAATCGATAGGCCTTATAATGATGTAAATTTGATTGACATGCAAGTGATCTCATCAGATTAAGCTACACAGTAAGTAGTTATATATATATATATATATATATATATATATATATATATATATATATATATATATATATATATATATATATATATATATATTCCTCGCGCAGATGCTATGCTGATAAAATGATCATGCATCCACTTTTGAAGTTTCGTCTTGTACAAGTTTAACACGCGTATTGCGTACATTCTAGAGTTTTTAGTGGCGTCGATCTCTTGTGTAGCGGTAGTAGCGCTAAGCTGTTAATTCCATAGCCATCATGTCAGTACTTAATTATTTGCTATCAGTTGATTCTGTACTGAGTACAACGGTGTCTGATTGGGAAATTTGTTAACGCTGTCAATTACATACTGAACTATTCTATGCACTACATGATGTCGTGATAGCTTATATGAGAGCTATAATAAGCAATTCATCGATCAATTCGTGGACGTAGTTTTCACACTGAGTTTACGATAGCCTTTTATATAATTCGTAATTTACCCATGATACCATCGCCTGTGGTCGCACCGGTTACACTCTGGTTTGACTGGCCGTTTAACAAGCCTTCTTCAGCACACCGGATAGAAAAAGTCGTCGGGTCCTTTCCGAGATGAAGTGCACAGCGATTTTCGTGTAAAAAATAAAATTAGTATACACCCGACCATTGTCTATTACAAATCCTACATTCTGATTGGCTACTCAACCATTGTCTATTCGTGTTAGTGCACGCTTGGGAAAATTTCTCCCGCGCGACCGTATAAAATTGAATTATTTTTCGGTGTAATTGCGGTGTATCGATTATTTTCTCGATATTAATATATCTATAGGTAAGGGGTGTATACTAAAACAATTAGACAACTCGCCTTCGTTGTCTATGAGCGAATAATGAACTCAGGCTTCGCCTTCGTTGACTGTTCGCTTATAGACAACTCGGACTCGTTGTCTAATTGTTAAATGGTATCTTGTCTCAATCTTTATCAACTTGAAACTGTAAATGAATAGAATAATTGCGTGTCCTGAAAGCTGGCACCGATACATCCATTTAGGGCCTAATACCAAGCCAGGATTACTATCAAACTTTCATGGTTAAGGCTGGTTTATAACTGGTTTTAGATTCCGATCAATGATTTTGAATTGTTCTCTTATTTTTAGTATAGCATATGCATGTATTACCCAATCCATCAATATTGAGGATAATCTGATTTGGTGAATACTAACTTGAGCTTTATCAGCGTCTGAGCGGACTGAGCCACCATGGTCAGGACTGTATGATAAAATCATATCACACAAGAATCAATCACAGAAGTATAATGAGGGTGTCATGTCATCTACAGGGCGACCACCGTGTTGGAATTTAATTAAACAGAATCCTTATCGTAAAGGTGCATTAGTACAGTATAGTTACCAAGTTGACTATAAGCAATACAGGCTTACATCGTGTGGCTACTGAGGCAGTAATATAAACCAGTAGTGAAAAGGCGTGTTTTTGTTTTGTTATCTTGGCTTTAAGTATTCGAGAAAGCTTATTTCAACCTGAGGGGGATTATCTGGACTCTGGAGTGCTGGTGCAGAGAAAGACAATAGCCCTCAGGTCGAAACGTCCAGATGTTTTGTCATCGGTATATTTTAGGCCATGTAGAGCGTAATCCAATTTGCTTGGTCTAGCAAATTCACTGATTTATTGCGAAAATTTTCGAAGTTACCAATCAGTGGACAGGAATTACATTCCGGGAATTATATTATGCATAACATAATCGACTTTTGTGATTGGCTTTTTCTAATTATAGTGAACAGAAGCAAACAGTACGATTCATTCTTTTAAAAATCAATATTTATAGTTCATTGTTTTAATTGTTATCACTAACCAATCACCAATAAGCAAAGCTTTTCCGTATAGGTAGGTACGGCCCAAATTATATAGGTTTCAAGGCTAAGATCTCTAGCTGTCAAAAGTCAAATTTAGAACAAATTCATCTTTTAAATTACGCAATTTTCATCGACTGCAAAAAATGCTCAAACCGGTTTTGATGCCGTGAACTGACTGTTCTAACGTAAACCTCTTCACATGCATGCAGTAAAAACGGGCCGATAAGATAGTGTAAAAGCGTACCTTTTCTTTGGAAATCTTATTGTCATAAGAAGTACGACGAAAAAGCTACCCAACATGACCTCAAGTTTTCAAGAGGAGAGTATAAATTGTCAATATTTTCTCGAACCTGTGTTTGCTCATTCTTCTCATTATGGTATTAAGCGATATGTTATCAAAAGGTTGTCAAAGAATTAAGCTCGCTTAGCGGGTAATTCACATTCAATAGTATATAATTTATGACATCAAGTTTCATCACCTTTTATAAGATGTCCTTCATGATTTTGGAACGTATACGTTAGAGTGATATACAGTTAATCCTTCCTTTTGCGTATATATATTTAGCTACGTCTTGGGGTATAAATTCGGTATAAATTCTTAGCACGAAAAGTATATAAATTGTCCTATGAACGACTATAGTTAAACGATCGTAATTGTCGTGAACACGTCATTTTCACATGCATATGTGAAACAGTTGGATGTAAATTTATCTTTAATTTCTCTATTCAAATTGCTTGATGTTCACTACACAAAAGCAGCAGTATTCTTCTAATACATCATTCGACGTTGACATGCTCACGAGAATAACTGACGATCAAATGTATGGAAAGAGACATATCAAACTCTTGTAGTACAAATTGGGACATTTGCCCTAGCTAGAGTCTAGTCTCTTTTGAGAGCAATACCGCGCGGCCATAAACAAAGATGGCGTTGAGATCGAAGCGAATTCATGAAGCGAATTTTGAAGCCGGCCCATCTCGGCGTTTTGCCGATGAATACATTAATAATAATGAGTTTTCGTCCGCAAACACGTCAACTAAAAGAAGATTCATAGCCATAGGTTTCTCCGTTCTTTTGCTCAGTGCCTCTCTTTTGATAAAGTATATATGAGTAAGCTGAAATATAGACACAGAGTGTTTATCAACTCCGAACAAAGATATTTTAAACTTTTAATATGGACAATCATCAAAAATTTATAATTTTAATACTTACTTGCTTATTTCGTAATTAAAAGAAGGAACTGTAGTCCGTAGAAAAGGCGTACTTTGTTCGTATTCATGCTCTATCCCTTCGACGGAATGAATTTATGAGGTAAACAAAACCAAAATCGAGAAAGAAACCCCGAAAAACCGAAGATATAGAGCCATTGGTCCACTCTTAATTCGCTTTGAATATGTATGAATTTGGTATCAAAATTTGCGCCAAATCATGTAGATTCCAAAAATGGAAGTAACTAGACGTCACAATGTATTGCAACAGCGCTAGCTCCAGTTTCCCTCTCACTTCCGCCGTGAGTAGGTCACTCAGCGGTGAAATTCTATAATAGCGGCGTACTAAAAAACCCCAAAGTCCAGGTCTAGAACGTGATGAATCTGTATGAAAATTGCATTACCAGACGTGCCGAAGGTGAAATTTTTAAATCCCGCTGGTAACTAAGATGTATTTTTTACGCACAACGCACGAGCAGGAAAAAACCACGAATTTTGAGTCAAATAATATAGCCGCGCAGCTGGAAGCGCGCTAACTTGAAACACGATATACCTT